GCTCGCTTCGCTGCCCCCCAGCGGTGGTGCGGCCCGGCCCTGGGACCGACTCCGAGAACCCCAAGCCGGGCCGAAAGTGCGAGGTCCTGACCGCGCCGCAGACGCGGGTTAAAGAAGAGGGTTAAACCTACCGAGAACGTTCGCTGCCTCTTCCTAGGGTGACGGGCTTGTGGAATTTTCCGTTTCCGGAGCTGGACCCCGGTATCCCGAGTGTCCTCCGCTCTGGACGTGGTCCTGAGCTCAGGAGCTGGCGTCTAGGAAATAGGGACTTCTTCACCCGCAGTGCAGTCGGCTGTGCTAGAAGAGACAAGGGAGAATCCGGACGGGGCGGGGCGGCGGGGGAGCGGAACGTTAGCATCGCGGGGAGCCCCCAGGTCACCCCTGGATTGCGAGGTGGCTCCGCCTGAGGGCCCTTCCTGGTGTGGCAGGGGCAGCTGCCCGCCTGGAAAATGGTTAGGCTCTGGCCCTGGGGAGGAAGAAGCCTTTGCCAAGAGCAACCGTCTACAAGCCCCAAAACCTGCGAGTGCCGGAAGTGTGGGCTGACCACAGCCTACCTCCCCGGCTTCATTCACCGCCAAGGCAGCCACGCTGGTGACAAGCCTTACCGTTGTCCGGGGTATGGCAGAAGCTTCCGATGTGGCTCTGATCTGGTTAAGCACCACTGGGTACGCACAGGTCAAAAGCCATACTCCTGCCCTGAGTGTGACCATCGCTTCAGCCCTACACCTGTGCCTTGTGTGGTAAGACTTTCAGCGTCACCTCAAACCTGATCCAGCACCAGCGCTTACACACCGCTAAAAACCTTACCGCTGAAGGGACTGCGGAAAGAGCCTCAGGCTTAACTCCAACCTGTTGAAGCACCTGCGGTCCGCATGGGTGAGAAGGCCTCTAAATGCCTTGTTTGTAGTAAGAGTTTTGTGCACAGTTGGAATCTGCTGCGGCACCAGCACAGTCACAAAGTCCGGAAACCTGATGCTTGGTGATGAGTGTGGCCAGAGCTTCCGCCAGAGCTCCCACCTGCCTCGTCCTCTACGCAGCCCACAGCGGCGAGAAGCCCTGCATCTGCCTGCAGTGTGGCAAGGCCTTAGCCGGAAGCTCCAACCTGGGCCAGCACCAGCGGACGCACCAGGGCGGCAGCCTCTGCCAGTAGCCCTGACTTCAGTTTTAGCTGAAACTTCAGCTCTGACTCTGGTTCGGACCTCAAGGAAATGGAAGGAACCAGGTCTCTAAGCAGACCCCCTTCTGCGCCCCTAGGGCTGTTGATTTTAGAGCTAATGATGGGATTTGGTTGGGGCGGAGTGGGGGGTCTCCACATCTTTTTGCCCAACCTTTGCCGAGTCAAGGAACCCCAGTCTGGGCTGGGCGTGGTGGCTCATGCCTATAATCCCAGCACTTTGGGAGGCCAAGGCTGGCGGATCACTGGAGGCCAGGGGTTCGAGACTAGCCTGGCCAACATATTGAAACCCTGTCTCTACTAAATAAAAAAAACAAGCCAGGCGTGTTGGCTCTCGCCTGTAATCCCAGCTACTCGGGAGGGTGAGGCAGGAGACTCCCTTGAACCCTGGGAAGTGGACGCTGCAGTGAGCGAAGATCGTGCCACTGCACTCCAGCCTGGGCAACAGAGACTCTCAAAAAAATAATAAATTTTTTTTTAAAGAAAGGAGCCCGAGTCTGGAAGAATCTGAACACTAGAGCTGTCTGTGATCACTGCCTTCAAAGAGCCCACCCAGCTAAGAAGGCTCAGGTTGGTTCTTTGAAGTTACAAAGGCAGAACATCGACCAGCTGAAGGGAGACTGTTGGGATGGCAGGAGAGAGTTTTGGACCCAGCGTGGGTCCATCATGGACCCAGCTGCCTGCAGATGTGGCAGTAGCTGATGCAGTCGCTTCACAGCCTAGGGAGTGATGGGGTTAATCACACCTAGAACAACAGGTACCTCTTCCCAGAGGAGTGGGACCAGAAATCAGGCAAGCCCCATGAGGAGTGCCGGGGCAGGGCATTCCTAACCTCCAGAGGGAACCATGAGGGAGCTTGTGTTCTGGCAGACGGGCCAGAGAATTTGAACTTGGGACCATTGTGTGAGCCCTGGGTGTGTGAGCCCTTCAAAAGTCCTCTCAGCACGTGACAACTATCGTTATGGGTGATACTATGGTGGTGGGACCCCCAGAACAGACCTGTATGTTGAGTTCAGGAGATGCTTTGTTGCATTTCTGGGCAGGGGCAAGAGGCCCCTTCCCCTTCCTTGTCCCCTTCCCTTCCAAGTTCCCCAGGCTCCTTTCCTGCCACTCTGTCAAGAGAGGGAAGAGTGGTGAAGAGTCACTTGTGCTTGGACACTGGGGACTGAATGTGGCCCTTTTGCCTGGGCATTGCCCAAACATACATTTCTACTGGTAAAACGTTGTGTATGTGTGGGCGGCAAGCCACCCAGGTGCCAAGGCAAGAGACCAAGGGCACAAGCTGTTCAGTATAATAAATAAAATATATAAAATAGGAATAGTTATATTAGATATAAATCATAGATGTGATTACATGTGAGTATCAATCATTAGTTGTAGCAATTATTCTTTATTCCAATATTATAATAATGCTTGCTCTACAATCATAACCTAGGGAAAGCCAGGCATACAGAGTTAGGAGCTGAAGGGCATGATGAGAAGTGACCAGAAGACAGGAGTGCGAGCCCTCTGTCATGCCTGGACAGGGCCACTAGAGGGCTCCTTGGTCTAGCGGTAACGCCAGCGTCTGGGAGGACGCCGGTTGTCAAGCAGACCGTGGTCTAGCCCTAGCGTCAGTGTCAAGGAAAAGCACCCGCTACCTAGCAGAGCGGGAAAGGGAGTCTCCCTTTCCCCAGGGAGTTTAGAAAAGACTCGACTCCACCACCTCTTGTGGAGGGCCCGACATTAGGCCCACCTGCAGTTACCTGGAGGCGTAACCATCTCCCTGTGATGCTTTGCTTCAATGGTCATGCTCCTGGTCCACTTTCATGTTCCATCCTGTCCAGCTGGCTCTGCCCTCTAGATAGCAGTAGCAAAATTAGTAAAAGCACTAAAATTCTCTGATACGCAGAAATAATGGCGTAAGCTGTCTTTCTCTCTCTGTCTCTCTCTCTCTCCCCCACCCTCTCTTCCCGCCTTGGCTGCTGAACAGGGAAAGGCCTCCTGTCCAGTGGGCATGTGACCCACGTGACCTTACCTATCATTGGAGATGGCTCACACTCCTTACCCTGCCGCCTTGTCTTGTATCCAGTAAGTAACAGTGCAGCCTGGCATTGGGGACCACTACCACCAAGACTACTGGTCTCTGCGTCTTGGTGGTAGTGGTCCCCTGGGCCCAGCTGTCTTGTCTTTTATCTCTTTGTCTTGTGTCTTTATTTCTATGATCTCTTGTTCTCCGCACATGGGGAGAAAAACCCACCAACCCTGTGGGGCTGGTCCTTACTGTATGTGGGAGCCGGGGGGAGGCTTCCCAAGCACCTACCTGTGCTCAGAGCAGAGACCAAGCTGTGAGGCCCTTCCCTTCCCTGCTAGGGGAGGGAGTTGTCTGTTTCAAGGACCTAATGCCCACCCCTGTGGGACAGTCCTACCATCAATCCAGGCATCTGGTCTGCTGCCCCCAAATTTTACCATCTTTTTTTTTTTTTTTTTTGAGACAGAGTCTCACTCTGTTGCCCGGGCTGGAATGGCACGATCTCAGCTCTCTGCAACCTCTGCCTCCTGGGTTAAAGCAATTCTCCTGCCTCAGCCTCTCGAGTAGCTGGGACTACAGGCATGCACCACAACGCCAGCCAGTGTTTGTATTTTTAGTGGAGGGTTTCACCATGTTGGCCAGGCTGGTCTCAAACTCCTGACCTCAAGTGATCCACCCGCCTCAGCCCCCAAAAGTGCTAGGATAACAGGCATCAGCCACCACGCCTGGCAATTTTGCCATCTTTTATCAGGCCTTCTGTGTCTAGGATGCTACCCACACAGAGTAGAAGCTAAAGGGAAGGGATGTGAAGTGACCTCGCTCTCAGCTTCTAGCTCATGGTGTCAAGGCTTGTGTGACCTTAGACACGTCTTCCTCTTCTGAGCCTGTTTCTTCATCCGTAAAACAGGGATGGAGGTTGTGGTAAAGATGCCATGGGAACACCGCACATGCACGAAGCAGCTGGGCCAGGGATGACTCAGCAGACCTCAGTTTCCCTCTCCCCCCTGCCTAGAGCTCTGTTAGCAAGCATCATGCAGCTCACATGAGAGCTCCCCACTGAGGTTACAGAAATGAAGGTAGCAGCCTTAGTCCTTGGGTAGCTTGTTGCCCCTTGAAGGAAACATACTCAGGATCAGCAACAGCACAGAGTGAATGACGCCGGGGTGGCGAAGGGGCCTTTCCTGGGGCAAATGCGGGAGGCTTCATGGAGATGACATGTAATGAACAGCACTCATCTCAGGCTGGGAGCAGCACATGCCCCTGGCAGAGGGTCAGTGATGAGATACAGGGTTCTTGACATCTTCCTCACCCAGGGCCCTTCAGGGAGTACAAGCCAGGGTTTGAGTGAAGGGCCTGAGCCCAGCACACGCATAGTAGGCACTCAATGAATAATTGTCATGATCAGGTCCTTTTTACACTGCTTACTAGTGGCCTTTAAGCCTCAGTTTCCTCAGAGTCGCCTTGAGTAAGTGTCGAGTGTTGCAGACCTCTGCAAAATTTGTAACTGCTTAGGTATGGGTAGAGTAGCGATGGAAGGAGGATTCAGAGACCTGTAAGCTAATTTCTCACATTAGGGCAGGTATTCCTGGAACCCCTCTCCTCTCCAATTGCATACAACAGGTTCTGACCAGAACAGGGAGGCAGGCCAGACTTCAGAAGCAGAGGGACGGGCTTAATCTAACAGGAGTATATCCCATGTCCTGCATGCACTGTACCCTGTGCTGGGTTTAGAAGCAGCTTCACTGTCCAAGCTTGTGACCCAGTGTCCAAACCCGAGATGCGAAACACTTATTAGTTTTGGCTGTGTGTGTGTGTGTGTGTGTGTGTGTGTGTGTGTGTGTGTTTTCAAACAAGCCAAGATTTTTACTTTTTGAGGTTCCATTGTGTTGCCCAAGCTGGTCTGAAACTTCTAGGCTCAAGTGATCCCCCTGCCTCAGCCTCCCAGGGAATTACAGGTGTGAGCTACCACGCCCGTTTATTTATTTATTTTTATTTTTGAGACAGAATCTCACTCTGTCATCCAGGCTGGAGTGCAGTGGTGCAATCATGGCTCACTGTAGCCTCAATCTCCTGGGCTCAAGTGATCCTCCCACCTTAACCTCCTGAGGAGCCGGGACTACAGGCATACACCACCACACCTGGCTAATTTTTTTGATTCTTAAAAAATGTTTTGTAGAGACGGGGTCTCACAAGATTGCCCAGGCTGATCTTGAACTCCTGAGTTCAAGTGTTCCTCTAGTCTTGGCCTCCCAAAATGCTGGGATTACAGGTGTGAGTCACCTAACCTGGTCTTTTTATTTTTTTAAAGAGCCAACGTTTAAATAAGGAGATTTCACATCACAGTCGATTTCTGGGGTTTGGTTTGTTGTTTACTCTTACTTTTTTTTTTATTTGAGACAGGATCTCGCCAGGTTGCAGGCTGGTCTTGAACTCCTGGGCTCAAATGATCCCCTGCCGGCCGGGCGCGGTGGCTCACGCCTTTAATCCCAGCACTTTGGGAGGCCAAGGTGGGCAGATCACGAGGTCAGGAGATCAAGAGCATCCTGGCTAACACGGTGAAATCCTGTCTCTACTAAAAATAGAAAAAATTAGCTGGGCGTGGTGGCAGGTGCCTGTAGTCCCAGCTACTCAGGAGGCTGAGGCAGGAGA